GGCTTTGCTGTATTTGGAGAGTTGCATATTTCTGATCTACACTCTGATGTAAAAGGTTGGGAAAATTCAGTGCAGGAAGCAATGTCTGTTGAAACCAATAATAAAACAGTATTAAAAGTTCAGAAATGTGTTTTGAATCTTCCTTTCAGTACACTCGAAAACCTCTTCTTTCCTCCAACCACCGTACTGCATTATAAGTAGTGACAATTTAGGTATCTGAGGTAGAAAAAACCATTGGTGCTTTTATCACTTCAGGACTCTAACTGAACATTAGGAGAGTTACTGGGCTGCTGTGGATAGAAGAGAAGATTCTTCTTCTGTCCTTTGTTATTGCAGTGGGAAGCACATCCCTCAGGGTGCGTCTAGACCAGTGTTCCCCAACATGGTGCCCACGGGTGCCATGGTGCCCGCAGGGCCATTTCTGTGCACCCGCCGAGTGAACACAGCCGGCCCCGGCCCTGGGCGCAAGGCACATGGGTGGTACCGGCCCCCTGGGCGCACAGCGTATGGGCAGTGCTGGCCCCGGGCGCGCGGCATTTGGGTGGCCGGCCTACCCCCCCCCGGGTGCTGGGCCCGTGAGTAGCCCCACCCCTAGGCGCCCGGCAGCCCCAAAAGGTTGGGGACTACTGGTCTAGACTGGCAAGATTCAAAAACTTGCCTCCTGTCTACACTGTCCACTTGAATTTGTGCATGAGTACTGACGTTCTAATGTAAGAATTCAGTGCTTCTTGCGCAAATACTTTGACGCTCCCGCTCAGAGATAAGCCCTCTTGCACAAGAATACTTGCGCAAGAGGGCCAGTGTAGACAGGCACCTTAATTTTTTGCGCAAGAAAGCCTGATGGCTAAAATGGCCATCGGAGCTTTCTTGCACAAAAGCGCGTCTGTACTGGGCACGGATGCTTTTGCGCAAAAGCACTTTTTGCGCAAAAGCATCCGTGCCAATCTAGACGCTCTTTTGCGGAAATACTTTTAACGGAAAAACTTTTCCGTTAAAAATATTTCCTCAAAATCATGCCAGTCTAGTTCCTGAGCCACAGTGTTCCTGAGAAACTGGGCAAAAAAGTCTTGATGAAAAATAATAAAACCAAAAAATAATAATAATAAAATCTCCTGGAGGATTGCCTTTACTACATGGGGTTTGCTCTGTACTTTCTGAGACCATTTCTCTTGTTTAGAAGCAATCTTTCCCTTAGAACTCTTTGTTCAACATTACTTTGCATCAAAGCCAAAGCAAATCTACATGGGGTAAATTGCAATCGATAAAAATAGTGATCCTGCGAGCCTGTCCTTTGTTATTCAGAATTATTCAAACGGTAGCTAAAGGGGCATCTTTATCGATAGTCTTGTTTAAAGACCAGCCCTTATATTACATTGTATCTTCCTGAGGCATGTGACTTTTAACGATATAATACTGCTCTCCAGGCGGAAATGTTAAGCAGCTCTCAGCAGACATTTCAACGCCACTGTTATTAGGCCTTCGTGACACAAGCCCCTTGCAGGTGAGGCGCTGGCAGCTCAGTGTTTTCCTCCATGCCCAGGCAGGCTCTGGAGCCATGTCTGGTTAAACGTTCCACAGGGAGGAAGCAAGACTCAGACCTTCTCATCGCGAGCTCCCTTCATCTCAAGAGTGCAGGACCTGAGTCTTTCCATGGAGAGGGTCCAGCGGAGGGCAACACAAAAGACTAGGAGGCTGGAGCACATCACCTATGAGGAGTGGCTGAGGGATTTTGCCTTAGTTAGTTTACAGAAGAGAGGAGTGAGGGGGGATTTGAGAGCAGCCTTCAGCTCCCTGAAGGAAGAATCCACAGAGGATGGAGAGAGGCTGTTCTCCGGGGTGGCAGAACGAGGAGCAAGGGTCTCAAGTTGCAGTGGGGGAGTGCTAGGTCGGATATTAGGACAAACGATTTCCCGAGGAGTGTGGGAAGCGCTGGGATGGGAGCTGGTGGAATCTCCATCCCTAGGGGTTTTTAAGTCCCGGTTTGACACATCCCTGGCTGGGATTTTTTAGTTGGGGTTGGTCCTGCCTGGAGCAGGGGATTGGACTCGATGTCCTCTTGAGATCTCTTCCCACCCTAGGATACTATGATTGTGTGGACTTCAGTGAGCGATGGAGCAGGGCGTGGGTGGGAAATGGACATACCTGAGTAGACACAGGCTTAAGCGACTTTGTGCTGCGTTCCTTTCTTTGCTAGAGCTACTACACACTCAGCAGCATATGTTCACTAAGGGCCGGATCCCACACCTGTTGAAATCAGTGGGAGTCTTTCCATCTTAATCACTGGGCTTTGGATCTGGCCCCAATAGGGGATCAGCTTTTCCTGCTCGCGCGCTCTCTCTCTCATTCATTTCACTTAGTGCTTATATGCGCCACACAACATCTGTGCTGGGCAGGATCAGCCTCTTATTGGGGTCTGTCTGCCAGCTCCTGCCGGGAGGTAATGCAATGAGAGCCATGTGTTTTGCAGACAGCAGAAGGGATATCTGTTCTGTTGCTCAGGGAAGCCGGCTAGTAGTGTGTGAGGATACGTTAGGGAACTACGGTGTGGTGTGAGAAGATGACATATTTACGTGAAATGCCTGAAATGCAAATTGAATTTTACGGCTTTATTTCCTCAAGAGGCAGCATCATCGGTTGCAGTGCTATATGAGCCCCAAGATTTCCATTTGAGAAATCTTGAATTGTAGCTTCACTCTGGTCATGAGGTCAATGTGTGTAGCCTCACTGTAGGCCTGCAGAGGTTGATGCAAGGAGTCTGAAGAGGGTACATCAAAGCCTTTGGAATCCTAGCCTGTTTTGCTTAGTAGTCTCTTTTTGAAGGCTGGTCTCATTAATAAAATGAGAGGAATTTTACCCTAGGTGATTTTCAGTTAACCTCTGGGACCACAACACTGACATGTGGTGTATCAGTTTATATTTTTAGGTCTGTATAGAAATCTTTATGTATGTCAGTTCTAGTCTGGCACTTTCTGGTCTGGGAACATCCGTAGTCCAGCATGATTTTAGTTAGCTGGGTGTCCACTTATCATGGGCATGGCCAAGTTTCCTGTGGTCCCATAAGGTTTGTTTACAGCCACCAATCCTGGCTCTCAATATTCTGCGCTGTTATTTAATTCAAATTTACCCTTAAATGTCTTCTCAGAGCCCAATAAACAGTTGAAATGTTGGTAATGCTGCTAGATAATATTGACCTCCCATGGTCTGGCAAATTCCCTGGTTCAGCACTGGTCAGGTCCCGAGGGTGCCGGGCTAGAGAGGTTCAACGTGTACATAGATCCTTATAACCTCGGTTAGATGACAAAGAATCCAAACCAAATGAGTTCAGGCATTTCTACTTCAGATGTTCGACTTGTCTATTATTTCGTCATTAGCATGACATGGTGCCATAAGCTGGCCTCTGTCACTCCAAATGGACGCCTCTTAACAAAAGCGGAAAAGTGAATTGATTTTCCCTCAGTCCTGTAATAAGCATATGTCTTTGAGATCTAGCCTACTCTGACACCTGTAAACCCCATTAAAATTAATGGGTGTGGGTTTCTTCCATGGGCTGATGGGAGTATAGATTATTTTAATGACTCAATTATTTACTTTATTGTGCAAGCAGCTTTAATAATCTTTGGTATCAAAACTGTTCTTGGGGGAAATCATGGCTATTGATATCTTAGGTGGCTTCATTCTCAAATTTACGCTGAAAATCTACTGAAATTTATTTAGTTCCTTAAACTTTAAGACATGCCTCTGAACTGTGTCCTTAGTAATGTGCTGACTGACTTGTTTGCAGGTATCAGACTCACGGGTACAGTTGTGTTGAGATTTGCAGAAGTTAAATTCTCTTCGAATAATAAAATGTATCCTGTACAAATGTACACCATTAGAGGATGATTTCTTGAGATTTTTCTGTTAAATCTAGAAATTAGTTTCTGAGTTAAAAAGATGCTAACACAGTGTTGTTAAGGAATTATTTGGTGAGTCTTAGCTGGGTTTTTTCCCCAGAGCTCTCCAGTAATTACATTCCTGATTGTTCAGATCTGAAGATTGACTCATCTAGATTATTAGCAAAATCTAAGGCAAAGGACACTTCACTGTGTTAGTGTTAGTATTTTATTTATTAACTTTTTTACTCAGAAGCCTTTCTGTCCACAAATGACAATAAATAAATGTTGCTTAGAGGTATTGTTTGCATTTCATTGTGAGAGCGAGGAAGGGGATAAAATGAAGTTGTTCAGCTGTTCAGGCCTAATGTTGGAAATATCAAGCAGATGTTCTTTCGTGCTGGCCTGTTAATGAACATTGATTTGTTCTCTTTATCTAGAAACAAGGATGATGGTCTGCATACTGTTGTGGTGGATTCTCAAAGTGCTTACCCTGTCTGCCTTGCTGAAAATGACTCTATCCTTAAATCCAGATGATCCCAACGTTTGCAGTCACTGGGAAAGGTAATGTATAAGCCATGTGTCCTTTGTTCGGCAGCCAGCTCATATTTGTACACTGCAAAGGCAGAATTACCATCACCAGAAATCAAATCTGTCATTGCCTCCCATGAACAGACACCAGTCCATGCTGCTGAAGCATCATGCATGAGCACCTGCGTTTGGATTCAGAGCAGGCAAAATAATCAGTGTCAGTGCTCGGCAGGAGGGAACATGGTCCCATACCATTTATCTTCTGTCCTGTAGAGGGGCGCTCTCCCTGCTTCATTGTCTAGATAGGCAACTTCCGTCTTCCTCTTCAGCTGCTGGGAACAGATTTCCTGGCAGCGGCTGAGCGCAGTGTTTGGCATTGTTGGACATTAAGTCTTGATCCTTTGTGGATACAACGTGCAGGTTTGTATTGTGTATTCACTTTTTGGTTTCATTTATGGGATTCCCATTGAAAGCTGTGAAAGTTCTGTCACGAAACCAAGGCAGAACGTGTGACACAGACCTCTAGACAAGAGAGCTCTTTGTTCTAGAGACCCCAATGGCGAATTGGGGTAATTGTGCTCACGGTACTTCCTTGTTATAGTGAGAGTTTCTGGTCCCATAGCTGGGTCTGTGCAGGTGGGTTCTTGTGTCCCTATGGAGCCCGCTGGCTTTTAGTGGGGCTCCATATGGATGCAGGGGTCCAGTTGCAGAGACCACAGATACTAAAGTTGCTGCACCATTAGGTTTAACTCATGGAGTTTCCACCCTAGTTACATTATTCCAACACAGGAGTGAATGGGGCCCTAACGATTTTCTGTAGCTCATATAACAGCAAGCATGGATCCTGTAACAAGAGTGACATCATCACAGGACCTAACCACAGCAGCCACGACATCAGAGTCTCATATAAATGCACATCCTCTAATGCAGGGGTTCCCAAACTTTTTGACACGGGGACCAGCAAATCCATTCACGAGCTTTCGGAGGCCCGGTAACATTCATTTGCATATTTGCATATTCATAAAGCAAATGACGAGTATGCAAATACATTGCTTTTGGTCCTCCCAAAGCCCCCAGGGCCAGCTTTAGCAAAGCTTTTGATACGGCCACCCACAACATTCTTACCAGCAAGTTAAGGGAATATGGATTGGGAAAATGGACGGTAATCCAATAAAACCCTGCACCACCACATCGTGTATTGAAAAGGGGCTCATTTATTTTCAGAAAGCCGACACCATCTTTGAAATTTTTTATCCATATTCTCATTCCGGATGGTGACTGCACCAGGTTCTCTCCATTCTGACACATGGCAGTGCCTTTAAACCTCACTGTCAGCAGTGGGGATATTTAAAAGGCCCTGCTTTTCCATTTTTATCCATGCGTGCGCCCTGAACTGTCCTGCTCCCCGCTGGCTGATTCTCTCCCCCCCCCC